TATGGCCAGCATCTGTGACTACACTTATGAAGAAAAGCCCACTTACTGAACCAGCATCTGTAACCTGATTTCCCAAAGTTCAGTCTGGAGGTGAGAACAGAACATAAAAAGTGGTATACATAACCAGCATCTGAGACAAAGAAGGCCCAGAGATATAGTAGGCATCTGGGAATCAAGGAAGGAATGCTGAGGGTCTTATACTGGGCAAACAGGCCAAACTGCATTCATAAGACATACCATGGTCCAGCCCTCTGCTCTTGATATTTTCTTACTTTGTTTTAACACTTAATGTCAATTTAGCAGGACAGATCTGTTCTGCCATCTCTCCAGCCCTTGGAGGGCTTGACTAACCCTTGTAGTGTGGTGGTTTGAATTAAAAAGCACCCCTTGTACACACACTCATAGAAAGTGGCATTAGTGAAGGTATGACCTTTTAGTAGGTATGGTCTTGTTGGAGGAAGTATTTTTCAGAAGCTCAAGCCAGGCCCAGTGTCACTCTCTCTTCCTGCTGCCTGATGATCCAGATGTAGAACTCTCAGCTCCTTCTCCAGCCTCATGTCTGCCTATGCTGCTTCCTGCATGGGTTAAACCTTTGAATCTGTAAACCAACCCCAATGTTTAAATGTTTTCCTTTCTAAGAGTTGCTGTGGTCACTGTCTCTTCAGAGCAATAGAAATCCTAACTAAGACATTTAGGCACACTAAGAGAAAGACTTAATAGACTTTGAGATTAAAAAAAAAAAAGTAATTTGGACAAATACCAATTAAATTGAAAAAAATCACTAGGACATATTTTAAAAATATATTCCACTAAACTGGAAAATGTAAAAGAGATAAATACATTTCTACATTCACACAACCTATCAAGATAAGTAATTTGAACAGACCTACAGCAAACAAAGAGGTACTGAATCAGTAATAATAATTTAAAACAAATTCTTGTTCTAAAAAAAAGTCTAGGTCCACATAGACTATGTGTAACTCTAAAGAACTACCACCAAATGGCTCACAAACTATTCTATGAGATAGAAAAAGAAAGAATACTATCAAACTTATTTTATGAAATCAGAATTACCAATTACAAAACCAGATAGACAGAAAATTACAGACCAATCTCACTGATGAAGAGATGCAAAAGTTCTCACTACAGTATATATTAATCAAATTCAGAATACATAATCATTAACTATGATCAGGCTGGCTTTACCCAGTAGGCAGGCCTCATGTTCTCCAATATGAAAGGCCTATGTTATTGCTGCTGACTGCATGTAGCAGTTTAATGACCTCTTCCAGGGTGAAATTGTCAAGGACCAGAAAATGTCCCTTTCATGGCTGACCATAGGCTCATTTTCCATTTTGACTGAAGCAGAAGTATGACTATGGCAATGGTCCTTCCTGCAGCACACACTACATCCCTATTATGAGCACAAGGGACAAGATAGGTGTCTTAACTATATCTAGCAGAGCTGTAAGCACACCTAGCACCACTTCACTACCAAGAAGAGAGGCTTATGATGGCATCACCTTATCCCACCACTTTGGATTTATCCATCCTGTCCATAAAATCCTGGAGGGACAATAGGAAATGATTCTGGACACAGCCATTCATCCATGGACATTTTCTGACCAATCCAGGCTGGCTGGAATACTTCTTGGACAAGTAGAACCTTAATAATGGTCTGTCTTCCAACCAATCAGGGTGTTTCTTGGCTAATCAAGGATCTGGGGATTATCTTTGGGTAACTAAGTGAAAGGGTCTTCTTGTCTAGTCAAAATATAAATATTGCCAGTCTGGGAAAATGGATCTTTCTGAGTAAATCTGAGGCTAAGAACAATAACTTCTGAGGAAGCAGTTTTGGTTTAGTATCCAAGGAACAAGACCCAAATTACTCCCACCTTAGTTGGAGCAATGGGGTCCTGTCAGTGTTGTCCCTCAGTAGAGATCATCAGAAAAACTGTGTAGAGTAGGCGCTATCAGAAGGACAAATCAGAGAATTTGTGAAGTTACAGAAGTGGTAGTCAGGTCAGGAGGCAGAATACAGGCATCTTGTCTTTTTTGATTTTAGACCAGCTTCTCCCTTTTCCAGGCAGCACACTCTGTCCACACCAGTTTCCCATGTGCATTCAGAAACCCTAACTTTCCTTTGTTCCTAGGTCTGGATCTTCCAGCTATCATCCTGTGCTGGAGTGACTCAGCTCCTGGATGAAGGGCTGGGATTCCCTTCCTTCTCCATCTCATTCTAGAAAACTTTAGGGTATTTTCATGAAAATGATTCTAGGGTTAGGGAAGTGTGAAAGGAATAAAATCAACTTAAAGGTATTTTCCTAGCTTCTCAGCTACTATAAGCTTGGCTTTGAAAAGCCAGGCCTGCCTTCATGTCCTCTAGCATAACATGACCCAGGAGTCTTTGAGGCTAGGAAAGAGGAAACAGCCATACTGAGGTTCTGTGAATATTTATTTGGAGATGCTGAGGTCCTGAGGAATGGAGGTCTCACCCATGGCAATAGGATGGGAAGGGAGTAAGAGCTAAATTACCTGGGGCCTTTTTATTAACACTGGATCCAGGTGACATGTGTTTGGTCCTTGCTCTTGTTTGGTCTGCAAGGAAAGGGCATATGGGGAGGAGACTGAAGAGAGGGATAGAGTAGCCTGCTGGAACCATTGCACACTGAGCTAATGGAGCCAGTGAGTTTGGGAATCAATTTTATAATAATTTATTCAGAAGTAAACATTCCTAAGCTCCACCCAAATAAAAAACAAATAGCTGTGATATTCAAAGACAGAGATTACATGATTTTAATGGATACAGAAAAGTCTTTTCAAAAACCAGGCATCTTTTCATTATAAAAGTCCCAAAGAGACAAGGACTAGAAGTAACTTAACATAATAAAAGCTGTAATAGATAAGCCTACAGCCAATATTATAATACATGGGGAAAAACTCTTAAGAATTTCTATTAAAATCAAAAATAGGATAAGGTCCAGTTTTTCTACTCTTGTTCAAAATGTTGGCTAAAGTCTTACGAGCAGTAAGAGAAGTAAGTAAAAGAGGTACAAATAGGAAAGGAAGAAGTAAAAATATCCTTATTTTCAGATTGTGTGACTCTATAAAAGTCCTAAAGACTCCAAAGATATGAGTCAAAACTGCACTGAGATTCGATCTTTCTCATCAAAATAGCAGTCATTATGAAAATAAGTAACAGGCTGGAAAGATGGCTGCACAGAAAATGCTTATACCTGATAAATAGTTTTAAACAAAGTGGCAGAATATAAAATTATCATATATAAACCAATAGCCTTCATATAGGCCAGTAAAGAACATGTTAAGAAATTAGGAAAATCCACTCAGTTTTGGAATGAACCTGACCGTAGTAGTGAAATAGGACGCCAGTCACTCAGAAATAAAGTAAACAATTAAATGGAACATCATCAAATTAAAGAAAGCTAATAAGTAAAAAGAGAGCCTGCAGAATGGGAAGTCTTTGTAGAACATCCATTTCACAGAGGATTGATATATAGAATATGCAAGTTTCTCAAAAAACTACACAACAATAAAACAAACTACCCAATTATTATTAAAGGACTAATTAAGTAGACAGTTCTCAAAAGATAAAACACAAATAGCCAACAAAGTGTTTTAAAATGCTCAGCTTCATGAGCCATCAGAAAAATAAAAGTCAAAACTGCACTGAGATACCATCTTTCTCATCAAAACAGCAGTCATTATAAAAACAAGTAACAGGCTGGAAAGATGGCCCCACAGCTAAGAACACTTACTTCTATAGGATCCGAGTTTGGTTCCTATCACTCATGTCAGGAGGCTGATAACCATCTCTAACTCCAGCTCCTCAATGCCTCTGGCCTTCGGGGGCATCTGCACTCATGTGGATATACTCACATGTAGTATACACAATTAAAAATAATAAAAACAACTCTCAAAAACAGGAAAAACATACTGGTGAGGATACAGACAAAACTTACACACTGCTGGTGAGAATGCAAACTAATCCAAACATTACAGAAGTCAGTATGATTGATTCTCAAAATAAAATTCACTCTATCTTGTGACTCGGTTACTTCACTTTTGAGTATTTACCAAAACAAAAACAAAAGCAGAAATAAAAACACATCAAAACATCTTAAGAATACTTGTAGATCAATGATTACTGAAGCACTCTCCACAATAAGTCACAGAACCAACCTAGGTGTCCAATAACAAAGGAACAATAAAATATGGTATGTATACACTGTAGTTGTTTCCAGCCATAAAGGACAAAACTATGTCACTTGCAAAAAAGAAAATGAATATCAGAGTTAATCAGCTTGAGTAAATTTACCCAGTCTTAGGAAGACAAAATTGTATGCTCTTTCATTTGTCATTCCTAGAATTTATATACATAAAATAATGCAGTTTCAAATAGTTTTAAAATAAAATAATGCAAAACTGCCTGTCTAGGAGAACAAAGGGGATTAACAGGAGTGAGGAAGGAAGTGAAAATGGAGGGTCAGTGGCACATGGGTAGGGAATGTGCTGAACATACAATATACACTTGTATGGAAATTTAAAAAAAATAAAATAAAAATTTGAACAGCTTTTAAACAGACATTTATTTCACAGAACATTTACTTACTTCAATTTAACTACGTATCTTAATAATTTGATTAGTTTAATTGATTTGATATTTCTGTCATTTTTAAATTTAAATCCTACTTAACAATAGGTCAAGATATGCAATTTATAAAATATTAGACACATAAAAATAAGATTGTATTATTGAGATGAAGACATTCATTTTCTATTTTAAGGCACTATGCATTTCAAAAATGTATGATACAGATCATGTAATAAAATATATAATGAAGAATACTGGATTATTTTATTTATTTAAAACATTGTCAAATTCAAAGTGATCATACATTTATATTTAATATACAGTTTTTCTAGAACAACTTTATTAATTAGAGTAGAAGGTTTAAGTTTAAAATAAAAAAGTTAATTACCTTCAAATAAACTGAGGTCTCTTCGTAGCCGTGGTCCATAAAGCCCTTCTAAAATACTCTCAAAACCTGTGTTTTTCAAAGAGAGAAAGTGTATTAGCTTCTGGAAAAGCTTTATTTTTTTAATGATCAAAACATCTAAATTTTATGTCAGTCAATAAATAATTTTCCATAGTATACCTGTTACTTTCACCCAGTTTAAAGTGAACTAGCTAATATGCTAATTATATAGTTAACTGTCAAATTAAGATTGTAAAGTAATTAGAATACTGAAGAGCATATATTAACCCAAGCTCAAGTACTAAAGTACTGTCAAGCATGACCTAATATTTGAGTCAAGAATGCTGGTGAGAATGTGGGAAGAGAGGAATAGTCACTCACTGTTGGTGGGACTACAAAACTCTGAAACCACAATGAAAATCAGTATAGAGAATTCTCAAAAAGCAAAATGTAAATCATATGATCCACTTATAACCCTCTATGGCAAATCCCCAAAGAACTTGACATCATATTCCATATATACTTGCTTGGCCAAGTTCACTGCTGCTCTCCTCACAGTAACAGAGGAATGGAAAAAGCCTAAATATCCTACACTGATAAATGGTTAATGAAAATGTGGAGTAGGTACACTATGAAATACTAGTCAGGTGTAAAGAAAAATTAAATCATGAAATTTGCCGGTAACATGATGATGGTGCAAGGGGCTGAGGGTGGGAAGAGCTACAAACAGCATAGTAGGAAACAAGTGCTATCAAAGGGGCAATGGGAAAAACAGGGAGGAAGACTTATCTAGGAAAGAGGTGGAAAGGAAAATACTGAGGGGCAGAAAAGGAGGGACAAAGAACACCAAAGCTGACTGGAACAAACATAAACATTATTTATAGTTATTTACAAATACATATAAATGTGTATAAATATTTAAATAAAGTTATGCTACTCAGGGTGATAATGCTCCCCAAAGAGTCTTGATTAACAAAGTTCTTGGTTCCAAGCAGGGGAACCCCGTTCCACAGACTCCCAAGGCTTGTGGTTGCCTTCCACAATGTGAACAGCTCAAGGTCACTCCTATGATTTCTACTAAATATTTAAGTAAAATATCCTACATTTCATTTTGTATTGTTTGATAATAGAAAAGGGAAGGATATTCTTACTCAGACCAATGTCAAAACATGTACAAGGGAAATTTTTATCTTAATTTTTTAAATTTAAATATTATCACATAATCCTCCCCCCCTCCCTTCGCCTTTTCCTCAACCTTTCCCATGTTCTCCTGGCTCCCTGTCAAATTTATACCTTTTTCTTAAATTGCTATTGTGACATATATATTTCTACATAAAAGATAAATATATAAATATAATCTGCTCAGTCTACTTAGTGTTACATTTATGTACATTACTGTGTAAGAAATCAGCCTAGAGCCGGGCGGTGGTGGCGCACGCCTTTAATCCCAGCACTTGGGAGGCAGAGGCAGGCGGATTTCTGAGTTCGAGGCCAGCCTGGTCTACCAAGTGAGTTCCAGGACAGCCAGAACTACACAGAGAAACCCTGTCTTGAATAAAAAAACAAAAAAAAAAAAAAAAAAAAAAAAAAAGAAATCAGCCTAGAATAATCATGTGTCACTCGCTAGCAGGGATAAATTATGAGATCTGTGTTATGTGGCTTTGTTTTTGTGTGAACACTCAGAGAACACCTGCACACAAACCTAATGCATATCACCTATGGATTTCAGGTTATGAACATGTAGAGTAGGTTATATTACTGAATAGTGTAGCTAGTTGTAACAAACCAGTAAGAACTCTTATTTATAAACTCATTAATATTGCAACCAGAGAAAAGGAACACTAAAATATGAGATCATAGCAGGGTTTTATGTGCTCGTTTTAGCTCCAGTGTAATGCTATTGGATCATCATTCTACCTGCAATTCTTTTTTTTTTTTTGAAAACTTAATGAGTACTACATCAACATCACTCTTCACCCTCCTTCCCTCTATAACTCCTCCTGTGTCCACCATTTATAATCTCTTAAGTATTATTGTTACTTATACATATGCATAGGTATATGCATATGCACACATGTGTATATGTAGCCTACTGAGCCAGTTTAGCTTTGTTTATACATACATTTGTTGGATCAATAGAGATTGGATTGTCTATGTGGAAGTCTGTCCCTGGAAGTATCAGACTCTCATTCTCTTAGCAGGCATTCTCATTCTCTTATTACCATCTATATAGCTCTTCAGCCAGGAGTGGGATTGGCATGTAATCCGGATTTGTCATTATGCTGATTTTGCTCATGTTATGTTACACTATTGTTATGAGTTTCTTGTCATATATAGAAGACGCTATTAACAGCAGAGATTTTTGCCTTCTAGCTCCTATTAAATGGGCTTTAAAGTCGAATTAGGTAGCTACTAGTTAGTCCAAGATCGAAGTACCACTATTGTACCACTGTAAATGTGCCGATGCGATTTGTAGGCTTTATAACTGGGTAGAACTGTTCCTCTCCCTTGGCAGTTTACACACCACCTTCTGATACTATCAAGAGTTGAACCTCAGGGAGAAGACATTCAGATCAGATCGGTTCCAGCTTAGTTCCTAGATATTCTGTGTCCAAAGTATGTAGTATCTTCAGCTATGGTGTTTCGCCTTCATATTTTGGAATGCAATCACAAGCCTTGGGAGTCTGAGGCTCCTTCCTCTCTGATGACTCTAGCTTGTGTCTAGCTGATACACAAAACAAGCCCGCACACCATCTCTTGTAACCAAACAAAGCTTCCAGTAAGCACAGGTCTAAAACAAGTCTGCACTAGGTCTTCTACATATATATTATAGCTTTCAGTTTAGTAATTTTGTTTTTAATAAAATCTGAGGAGATAAAAATCAACCTATCATATGAAAAACATATTCACAAGGGCATCCAAAAGAGCTAGAAACAAATAAAACAAAGGTGAAAGAAAGAAAGAAAGAAAGAAAGAAAGAAAGAAAGAAAGAAAGAAAGAAAGAAAGAGGAAGAGAGGGAGGGGGGGAGGGAGAGAGTGAGAGAGAGGGAGAGAGAGAGAGAGGGAGAGAGAGATAGATGGGGGAGGGGAAGGGGGAGGAAGGGGGGGAATGACAAAGCCCCAGGTTCAATAAGAAACCACACCTAGTAAAGTAAGGTGGAGAGCAACTGAGTAACCTTGGGGCTTCACTCGCACATATGTGAACACAAACACAAAAAGTTGAATAAAAATCAGATATTAATAGGTTTATATGGACAGTAATAAGGTTTGGTGGGTAAGGAAGCTTGAAGCTAAGACTGATATGAACTTGATTCCCAGAAGTAACACAGTGGAGCAAACTGACTCCCAAAAGCTGTCTTCTGACCTCTGTATGTATGACATGGCACCCTCCTTCCAAATAAATGAATTTTTTTTATTTTGTTTATATATACCGCCTTATTTGTTTCACATTAGTTTCATTTATATTCCTTCTCATTCCCCATCCCAGATAGCAAAATATTTTGTAATAAATAGCTGTTTTCCTTTACGACACAGTAGTTGTATGAGTTTCTTTATGACATACCTGTATGTAAAGTATTCTGTTTTTACTCCAAATTACTAATCTTTCCTATACATTCCCTATGCCTGTGATCATTCCCCTTCTCTAATAGCCCCCATTTTCCTGTCTTGTTAAAAAAAATTTAAATTCTGAGGGTAAGAGAAAAGACAGTATTTGTCTAATTTATGTGATAGTTTGAATAAAAATGGCCCTCATAGGCTCATATATTTCAATGCTAAGTCACCAGGAGTGGAACTGTTTGAAATGACTGAGAGGTGTGGCCTTATTCAAGAAAGCGTGTCACTAGGGGTGGGCTTTGAGGTTTCAAAAGCCCATGCCAGGTCCAAAGTTTCTTTCTTTCCTTCCTATTGTCTGCATATTAGGTTGTAGAACTCTAAGCTACTTCTCCAGTACCATGTCTCCCTCTGTGCCGCCATGCTGCATGCCATGATGATGATGGACTCTGAAACTGTAAGCAAGCCTCCAATTAAATGCTTTTATAAGAACTGCCTTAGCCTGTTGGGCTGTGTCGTGCACACGTAGGTGTGGGTTCTGTTGGGTTGAGTTGTGGGTCCCGCGTCTGTCCCCTCCAGGCCAGAGTGATGGCTCAAAGATGCAGAGGCACAGGAATTTGACTATGCTCACTCCAGGCTGCGCTTGGCTGAAGCTGGACTGTGGGAAGCTGCAGGGAAGGGGCTCTTGGTCGCTGCAACTTACTTGACTGGGTCATGGCTAACCCAGCTAGCTCATTTGAGTTGGCCACCTCTGTGGCTGGAAGCATAGAGAGGTCCTCAGTGGGAGATCAGCGGCTCAGTAGTTGAAGACCTTCTCCATGGTTCCCCACGGTGGGCCTCAAAGAGGAGAGATAGTCCAGGTCTTAAGATATGGTCTTAAGATCTTTATTGTCATGGTGGAAAGTGAATGAAGCTTTATCCCATATTCTCGGGGCGGGCCAGAAGTTAAATACCTTTTGCAAGGAGGGTCTGGAAAGGAATGCTTAATTGGCTATGCCCTCTGGCCTTTAGGTATCTCATGAATACATGTCTTGAGGCTCTGTAGTCATGCCCTCTACTTGTGCTACATGACTGATGGCTACATGACTGAGGGGCTGTAGAGGGCTGTGGCTATGTGAAAGGAACCAGGGGTCTCAGGAGCAGGGCTGAACTCCTACTGTCCCTTTAGCGTCTCCGGGGTTCAAGGCCTACGCTAGACCAGGTACCCAGCTGTGTCTCACAGCCCACCGCCACACTGGCCATAACATAACTTTACAGCAATAGAACAGTAAGACAGACAGAAGTTAGTACAAATAGTAGGGTATTGCTGTGTCAGGCCTGACCATGCTGCTTGTTGGTAGAATGTAGACTTTGAACTAGAAAAGCCATTGAATGCTTTTAGGTGGGACTTAATGGGCCACACTAAGAGAATGATGCTGAAGGTGATTTGAACTGTGTAAAGCAAGCTCAAGAAGTTTCAAAGGGGAAGAATATTAATTAGTAAGTGGTCTAGAGAGCGTTCTTGTGATATTTTGGAA